TGCTCCTTGGAGTCAAGGATTCTGAAGCTTCGTCTGACATACTTTGGGCATGTTGCAAGGAGGGACTGGTCCTTGGAGAGGGACATCATGTTTGGGAGAATGGAGGCATGGCATAGGAGAGGAAGACACTCTATGATATGGATAGATTCAGTGATTGGGATGGTGGGAATGAGTGTTTGAGATGGAGAAGTTGGCACAGGATAGAACGGCGTTTAGGGCTCTTGTACATAGGGTCACAATGAAAGTTTACAGAGACTTTGGATTTCCATTCATTCATTGTTGCACTTTTCTCCCTGCCCAACCTCTGCCCAGCCCCGAGTTTACCCTTCTCTTAGAAAAGGAAGAGAAAAATTCATTGTTATACAATCCCTCCCCACAAGTCCACTCCACTGTGCAGCCTTGATTCTGGACTCTTGTCATGACAGTAATACCCAATCATATATCCTTTTTTAAACAGTTCTCTGCCTCATCTGTTTCAGTGCAGTATACATAATTTATCTCATCTTTCTCAGTCTACCCCCAACCCCAATGTCAGTCCCATTTTACAACAGTAGCACTATGCAGTATTTGTCCTTTTGTGACTGAGATATTTCACTCAGCGTAATGTCCTCCAGAGTCACCCATTTTGAATAATATTTCATGTGTTCCCTATTTTTCAATGCAGCATAGTATTCCATTTTTAGAAGGTCCCATTCATCTGTTTTATCCTCTCCTGGTTGTAGAGTTTTTAAGATGCTTGGAAGGCTGTTCATGTTGTGGATTAGGACTTTTAGAGTTCTTCCAAACTTTTCTTTAATGAAGTTTATAGTCCTTGCGACCTTGAGTTGATTTTTGTGTATGGAGCGAGGTGTAGATCTTCAGTTTTCTGCAGATAGTTTTCCAATTTTGCCAACACCATTTGTTAAAAAGGCTGATTTCATCTATAGGTCAAAAATCAGTTGACATAGGTAAATGGGCTGCTTTTCGGGTTCTCAATTCTATTCCATTGATCTATGTGTCTATCATTGTACCAGCCACACAGTCTTGAGCACCACGGCAGTGTAGTAGGATCTGAAATCAGGGAGTAAGAGGCCTCCTACCTTATTTGTATTTTTAAGGAGTGCTTTGCTTATTTGGGGCTTCCTTCCATTCCAAATGAAACAGGAGATTGCCTTTTCCATCT